TGAATTTTTATGGATCATCCGCCCGAAAATGTAAAGCGCAATGACTTTTAAGGGCTCGCTAACGCCGACCCATACCGAGTTGGACTGCAGTCGCACCAAACCACCACAGACACGATTTATCAACTCTCCTCGACAACGACGACGACAACGACCAACGCACGATAAATCCCGGCGCACCCCCCGAACCCTTTCTTTGCGAAAAGGGAATAAAGAAGAGAAAGGAAAACAGTTCAACCCTCTTGTTTCCACCTGGGGTTGTGTCCCTTTTTTTTTTTCCCTCTTAGATTTTCACAGATATTCGGTGGCCTATCATGCCTTCGGATCACGGTCACAGACGTGAGTACTCTCTCCACCCCTGAGTGTTGGGTTGGGTATTGCGGGGAATGGTTACGAGTCCGCTCTGTGTGTCTCTGTGTGTGCGACTGGTAGACTGGGACTCGTTTGGACAGGAATAGATCGACCAGCGATTCGTTGTGTGCGCTAACATATATATCTTGTTGGATTGATTTAGTATATGTCAAGTAAGACAAATTTCCTCCTCTCCTTTTTCTGTATACCCTTATCTCGTTCCCAATCGATATCCCCCCATCGGCTGCATCAGTTTAGGTGCGATCGGAGCTCGACCTTTCGCGACTCAGATATCGGCATGGGGATCTTGATATTCAAAGCAGATTGGGACTATGAAACATGGACACAAAAGACACTTGGAACAGAACAGAAAAGCTGATGAGATATTTCCATTAGGGGTCGGCACCTGAGCTACCAGCGGGGAAAGCGAGCCACCAACCCCAACACAAGGTACCGTTTTGTTCTAACCATTTTTCCCTCTCATGGGCTTACATTTGGGTCCTGGCCGCCCTTCGGCGGATTAATATGGAAGGGAGCCCAGCTAATGGTGATGTGTGTTCATATAGTCTTATCAAACTTGAGGGAGTTGAAGATATCAAAGCCGCCAACTTCTATCTCGGAAAGAAAGTAGCATTCGTCTACCGGGCCAAGCGTGAGGTTCAGGGTTCTAAAATCAGAGTCATCTGGGGCAAGGTCACACGGACTCACGGTATGTTTTGTGACATTTGTTCCCGGCCAGAGAAGTCGCAGTAGTGACTTCGATTTGGCCAATTGGTGTGGCCTGTATTTTCGTGACCAACAAGAAGAAGAAAAACAAATCCGTTGCTGTTTGTCAAAATTACTAAGATTGACCCGTCTCCACATAGGGCAACTCGGGCGTTGTCCGTGCGCAATTCAGACACAATTCTTCTCTCAAAGTCCTTCGGTGCCAGTGTGCGAGTGATTTTGTACCCATCGTCCATTTAAGCGTTGATTGAGACCAGGGCCGGGGTCGGGTTTGGTGTTGGGTGTTGGAGCGGTGTGCAGTCGTGGGATTTTGTGGGGCCAATGTCTGGGGAAAATTTTTGTTTAAACAAAACAAAAAAAAAAAAAAACACAACAAAAATGGGGAGGTCTGAGGACGGAAAGGCTGAAACGGTATGGATGTCAGGAGGCGGTTTTTGAAAAACGGCAAGAGACCAAATTAAAAGGGGGCGATGGAAAACGGAGGACATACGGGAGGGAGGAAGAATGAGGGGTTGGAGGAGGGGCTGAATGAGGGTCACATCGGGGTTCAAGATGGTCCTTATTTTGTCCTTTGTCCACCCTTTTTTTCGTCTTTCCTACCGCTCTCTTTTCCCCCTTTGATGTCGTTGTTGCCTTCCCCTGGCAGCAACAGCACCACCATGAAAAGAAAAAATCTGCATAGAAAAGGGCCGGCGACTCGCCTGTGACCACATGTTTTTTTATCTGCGCTTGACATGTTATCATTTTTACTTTTTTTCCTTTCCAATCAAGTTGAGAGTATCTGTTCCAACTGATCACCCACTCTTCTTTTCCCCGCCTCTTTCCCTCCATCAAATGTGTTTCCCCCCTTCATTTTCATGGCAACGCTTTTCCCCCCTCTGTATCTCGACCCGATTGTAGGTACCAAATGGAAGCTCCCAACCAAAGTCCACGCGATGAACTTCTAAATCACCAAAAACGGGCCACACAGCAGGCGCACACAAGACAAAGTCAACAGACCAAGACATTAAGTAGATACAGTTGTATGTACAGTACATGTCCATGTCCATGTCCATCGGCACTATAGACATGGCTACCCTTATTCAAAGCCCTTTCTCCCAATTGCCGGAGATATTCCCAGGACGAATTACAAGTACCGGTTCTTCTTTCCGATGGCAGGATGTAGAAACCGCCAAAATCAGCGTCAATCATAAAATGGAAGATGCGAGACCTATTTCCTGCGGTATAGCAGCAATTTATTTTATTTTTATTTTTATTTTCTGTTTTTATTCGCAAGGTTTACTACTATTTAATCTCATGTATTTAGCGCACTTGTGCCACATGGATCGGGTCGCACTACGTTGCACAGAGCATACGCATTGTTATATACCAGCTTGAAACCAAACTGATCCTACCCGTGCTACTACTGTAGGAGGAACTTGTTTCTTGATACCCTGGTCGAAAAGTTTTCCGTTTGAGACCCTGTACATAGTAGAGGAGGAGAATATGTACTGTACATGAGCCCCTGCAAACGCTAGATAGAAATGCACCATGGCAAAATCTGTTGACAAAAACCTCCTACAAGGTTAGCTGCCAAGTTTAATGTCAAGGCTGGCCCTATAGTTAGGTACCTGGGGCATTAATTGAGCTCCGGTATTATTTCTAGCGTGTGCAAGCGGCCATTTATTAACAAGTCGTTCAAATATCATGTTATATCCTTTACATCAAACCTAGCCAATCAATTTACCGAGATTAAGAGATAGTTAGCTTTGTTCCTCGCAAATGAAAATGGACTGCAAGAATAAAAATAGATTGCAGGAATGCAAATTGTTAAATGCCACCACCGCTCATGTTCCTATGGGACAATCCCTCCAATATCGGCCTACT